AGAGAGAGAGAGAGAGAGAGAGAGAGAGAGAGAGAGAGAGAGAGAGAGAGAGAGAGCGCAAGGAAAGAGGGTGGTGAGGACAAGGAAGAAGGACATGATATAATTTCAAAAGAAAAATAAAAGTTGAAAAAATTGATTTTTAACACCTGCTAATACTGAGGCAGTTACTGTTCCTCAGAAGATAGTTATATAATTCTAAAGTCATCACTGCAAGTTGGTAGTTTTAACTGCTAATCCAGATACTCGATGGAACTGTTCACTGCTGACCTTAAGCAACTTAGGTGAGGTATAAGGAGTTAAGGATGCAAACTCTCACCTCTTGTCCTAAATCCACATGTAACCTTTTTGGTTGTTTAAGAGAGGATGTTGCTACATAGCCCTGTTTAGCTGGAACTCACAGAGATCCTCCTGCTTCTGCTTCCTGAGTGCTAGGATTGAAGGTGTGGTCACTCTGCCTAGCCACATGTAACTTTGGAGTCTCTCCCAAACCTAAATGTGAATAGTTGACTGATAACCTAGACAGCCAATTAGTCCATGCTCTGTATGTGCTATATTTGGTGAAAACAAGCAAGAACCACGTGAGGCCATTTTTACTGTGACTGTCTGTCTGTGGGATTGAGGGACTGCTCAAAGAGATGGCTGAGCCCGAGCAGTGGAAGTGGGTCCTCTCGGCTTTAGAAACGGGAGGCAGTTTGGGAACTCTTGTTCTCACTCTGTTTGCAGACACTGCTGATTCCTTTTTACTTCTGTTCCCAGGACATAGGCAGGGTCTGTTCCAGTTGCCCAGAAACAGGAGGCATCTGGGGCGGCTCTCCAGCGCATAGTGTGGACTGCTGTCTTGTACAGTTGGCCAGCTTTGTGTTTGTTTTCCCCGATTGAGAATGGCACCACGTGTGGTTGGTCTGGGTGTCTAAGTTTGATGGACCTTAACATTTAAGTAGTAGATTTATATGTATTTTGTAGTAACTTGGAACACTGTCATCCACATATATTTTGTGCATTTATGGGCTGTCTTAATTCTTAATGTTTTTCAACATCTAGGCTAACTGGTTTTTCTTCTAGTCTGTTTAAGATATCACAGATTTATGCACACGCACATTTGGACCTATACAATTCAGACCTCTGTTCAAAGATCAACTGTGTTTTAAACCTGTTTGCCTGTGTTTACTCTTTATGTAGAATATACTGTTTTTATTGTTCTTTTTCTGTTTTAAAATTGATCATTTTTCAAGTTAGCTATCAAATAAAAATGTTAGAGGTTATCTTTTAATAAAGGAAATTAAACTTGACCTTTGCCATTTAGGTTTTGTTTATCAGAAACCAGTTGTCCACAAGAAGATCACTTCCCACCCAACCTTTGTGTGAAAGTGAATACAAAACCTTGCAGCCTTCCAGTAAGTTCTAAAAACAAGTTTTGAACTACATTACGTATGTGACTATTACATAAGTCATCTTAAATGTTTTTAATTACAATTTTACATTAAGAAACAGGGCAGTGCTCAGTGGTAGAGTGCTTGCTTAGTATCGAGAAGACCCTGGGTTCAGTCCCACGACCACAGGAAGGGGATATTTTACTGTGTATTCATCTGACTGGGTGAGACTTGCAAACTTCAGTTAGCAGCTGTGACATGGAGCCATGGATAGAAACTTGTAGCATTGCCCATGGTAGCATCAGTGTTGTGCTGATTTTCAGGAAACAGAATCTCAGCTATATTCCTGCAGGGAGTGGCATTCAGAATGCTGCTGTTGGAGTTTTTATACCTTTTTAAGCCATTATGAACTCATTCTGATTCTGAGATTTAAGAGACTTTGAATTTCTATCACGTTTTTCCTCAGGCTTGCTAAAATGAGACTGTTAGGTTGTTTAGAGAAATCATTGCCTAGGTAACTTATAAATGTTTGCTTCCCTACTTTTCAATGAAAACATTGGTATTTTCTAGCCCATACTTTGTAGGGTTTTTTTTTTGTTGTTGTTCTTGTTGTTTTAAGAAATTGAAACAATTGTGGAAATAGTAGAAATAAATTATATTTCTTTCTTAGGGTTACCTTCCACCTACTAAAAACGGTGTGGAACCAAAGCGACCTAGCCGACCAATTAATATCACCTCACTTGTCCGATTGTCTACGACAGTACCAAATACCATTGTTGTTTCTTGGACTGCAGAAATTGGAAGAGTAAGTAAGCTTCTGTTTGTAGCTATTTTCCTGTCATGAGGAAGCGTTAATTACCATGGCTGCCTATAATGTATGAGTTATACTATAAAGGAGTAGAAAAGGATTTTCGTCTCACAGTGAATTTTTAGCCTATTCCTACTTGAAACAGGTTCATGTAGTCTCCATTGGTTTTTAACTCTATAGTTTATCATAAACTTCTTCCTGTGTCATTACATAGTCTTCTGCTGCATTTGAATTGGCTATACCATGCGGTGATAAGAATATGCTACTGCTTAGCCTAGTCTCTGGTGCTGAGTACTTAGCTCTGAGTACTGTCCTGACAGCTGTGGCTTCGCATACATGCAGACTGACTTCGTTACAGTAAATTCTCAGAGCCAAAGAGCATGAAGAATTTTGAGAAGTTTTTGTACATTGACTGATGGCTTTCCACAAAGATGTACAAATGTGTTCTCTGATGTATAGTGTTTATTTGCTTGCTTGCAAACAATATTATCATTTAAAAATTTTTTACCTTTAAGTAAATGTTAGCATTTAGTACCCCTTTTGTTTTTAGTAAAAGCGAACATTTTTTGTGTTTATAACTATTTACATTTTAAATTTGCATCCATGTCTGTTTCTCTTTTGTTCTTTTCTTAGTTATCTTACTAGGTTTACTATGTTGAGAATTTACCCTTTGATATATCTTGTAAATATTTGTCTCTAGTTGGTTAGCTTTCTACCCATCCAGTTATTTATATGTAGATTTACATTTTCGTAGCACCAAATGTTAATCAGTTTTTTGGCTTATAGTCTTTTCCCCTTACCATCATGCTCTGTCTATGTATGCTTGCCAAGCTGATGTTAATAAGCTAGACTACTAGAGTACAAGGGTTTCTTGTTTTATCTTTAAATATTTAATCCATCTTGAATTCATATGTTGTATGAGAAAATTATTTTCACTAGTCAATCCAATTCTAAGTAAATGGTAGTTCTGAAGCCACTGTTGTTACATAAATAATTTTTTATATTCTGTTCCTGTTTCTGAACTTTGTCTATACTGTTTCTAGGTCTAGCTTTCATTTTCTAGGTTAGTCTTTTAAATTTTTGTTTAAAAATTATTGTAGCTTTTTAATGTAAACCCCTCTATGCATGAGTTAAGATTTGTTGACTGTGTGTCGTATGACTGCATGATACTATTGTAGGGAGAACAAATCCTTGTTTCTCTGGGGCTTCGTACATACACTCCAAGCAGGAACTGTCCTGTTTAAGTGCTGAAAAGGAGCAGTGACTGGGATCTTCGTGTAGTCAAGGACTTGAAAGAGAAGAGAGGTCAGGGGAGGGCTTCCTGGAGGAAGCAGTGACTTGAGAGAAGAGCGAGGAGAAGGGTGGGAGTCGGGAACAGTTGAGAGGAACACAGCCGCCCAGTGGCAAGGGTTAGCCTCCGCTTTCCCGGGCAGCTGAAAGGGCTTCACTGGCACTCAAGTGCGGTGAGCGGAAAGAGCAGCAGGGACCTCTCTGGAGAATAAGACTGGCCTCAGCCATGCAGGGCGTGGTAGGAGATGTCAGAGGTAAGCGCTTTCTCTTTTTAAGCAGAAAGTTTACATGTTTCCTTTAGAACAGGGTTGCTCCTTAGAGTGGTTAAGTAGTTGGGGTAGATGACAAAACCATACAGCAGTCACATCTCAGTAGCCAGCTATTACAGGAATGTTCATGGGAGCCATAACCTAGAGTCATTAAGGAATGGCACCCAGTGTCAATATCTGGCCTTTATGTGCACACACAGATGCACTTATGGACACAAAATAGCTGACTTGAGACACACGGGTGACATTAGCAGGAGAAGTTTTGATAGAAGATTGGAATGTTCAGTTGTGATAGGTGAGCTGTAGAGATGGAGGATTACAAGCCTGTCAGTTAGGAGAGAGAGAGAGATGGAGATGAGCTGGAAGGATGTGAGATTGAAAGTTCTTTGTCTTAATGGGAGAGTTTTAAATGTGTCTGGATGATGGTGGGGATCTCTTAGAGAGTGAGAGACGTACAGGAAGGAGGGATGATCAGCAGTGAATTGCATACACCAAGGAGCTCATGGTAGGCAGGAAGGACAGCTTCTTATATTTTTGGTTGTGAGCCTAGCCTTTAACGGCTGAGCCATCTCTCCAGCCCGAAGGACAGCTTCTTTAATGGGACAGTGAAACGATTGGAGAGTTACATTCTGATTGGGTGATTTCTCTGTCAAGTAGGAAATATGAGTTAAGCTAAGAGAGAAGTCACAAAGGACTTGGAGGAGAGTTGGCAAAGTTATTAGCATGAGACATGGTGAACCTTCTCTCCACATTTATTCTACCACATGAACTGTGGAATTACTTACCCATGTGCCTTCCTCTCCTTCCTCACTCTGCCTCACTCTTGCCCAGACTCTGAGGAAGAGTTCTTCAGTGTCACAGGTGGAACTTAGGGGACTGGGAGGGTTTAATGATAATAGTGTTATCCACTCCAGGAACCGTGTTTCTCTATTCACTCAGATTCTCCTTGATGCTCCTCAGTAGTTGAATAGGTTTAGTATCTGTCTCTGTAAGTCCTTTTCAATTCCTGTGTTGATTTTATTGTTGCTATTTCTAAGTGTATCTTTTGTTCTTGTTACATTTTCTAGGGTTTATTACTGGCTTATTCAGAAACTATTTGTTTGTGGATGTTTCCTACTTAAGTTCATATATTGCTTTTTTTTTTTTTTTTTTAGTTGTTTTTTTTAGTATTTCCAGGAAGGGTTTAGCTTGAGATTATCATTTACACAAATACATACATATGCCTCATTTATTTCTTCTGTTAACTGGAACTTTTTAAATTTAACATAGGTGCTACTGAACATCTTTATTGTTCCTTTGTTAAGGAAAATACTGTTATGATATTTAGTGTTTGAATGGCATGTGTATGTGTGTACACACAGAAGCCGGAGAGGGCATCAGTGGCCTCCTCTATCTCTCTTTGATGCAACTCTGAGGCAAGGTAGCCAGACCTAGGCTAGAGGCCAGCACATACACCCAGCACTCTTCCTGTATCCACCACTAGTCACAAACCTTTGTAAGAAAACCCCAAAACTCAGGTCCTCAAGTGCTCGTAACTTCTGAGTCCTACCATGAAGGGTTTTGGTTTGCTTGCTTGGTTGTTTTGTTTTTAGGCAGGATCTCACTATGTAGTTTTAGCTGGTCTAGAACTCATGTAGACCAGACTGGCTTGGAACTCACAGAGATCCACCTGCTTCTGCTTCCCGAGTGCTAGAATTAAAAGCATGTGCCATCATGCCCAACCCCACTATTAGTTTAGAACTTAATTACATTAATGATGTCTTTACAATATTCCTCTTTTGCTGAATTTCTTTATTAGAAACAGATTGGGGGTTTTGGGAATATAATTCAGTTGGTAAAATACTTACCTACCATGAAGCCCATGGTTTTATCCCAAGCACTCCATAAACTGGAGATGGTGACATGTGCCTATGCTCCAGTAGTCAGAAGGTGAAAACAGGAGGATCAGAAATCCATCATCTTGGGCTCCATAAAAAGTGTAAGACCATCGGGGCGGTGGTGGCGCACGCCTTTAATCCCAGCACTTGGGAGGCAGAGGCAGGCGGATCTCTGTGAGTTCGAGGCCAGCCTGGGCTACCAAGTGAGTTCCAGGAAAGGCGCAAAGCTACACAGAGAAACCCTGTCTCAAAAAACATTTAAAAAAAAAAAAAAAGAAAAGTGTAAGACCATTCTGGGATACATGAGGCCCTGTCTAATAACAAAAGCAAGCAGAGAAGAGGAGGCAAAAAGGAGGCAGAAGTTTGTCTTTTCAAAGAAAATAAACTCCACACAGTCCCTAAAGAAGAAAAGCATATTGTAACTTCTTGTTCTACTCTATGGCTTTTTACTTTATTTAGCATTTATTAAACTCTTCCTGTGGATGGAGGAATCATTTGGACACCACTGTAATGGGGACAGAAGGACTAGATGTTTTGATTATGGAGAAAATATCTTATGAACTTAAGCAGTTTACAGACTTTGGGGGAAATACAGACAAAATTAACAAAGTGAGATGATGTATATAAAGAGCTGGCCCTTGTGGGGGCAGCAGAAGCACTGTCTCCTTAGCCACTGTTATTTTGGAGGATCTTTGTGTGTGATGTCTCCTTGTGACATTGGGACAAGTGGGATTTCGTTCCTGGCATTCTTGCAGCTTTTGTTTTCTTCTCTGGTTACATGTTTCAACTAGAGCACACATACCTTTTTGCTGAACTTGAATTTTTTTTTAACTTGATCTCATCATAAATGCTAATAGAAAGCCCTGGGGTATTTCCAAGTTTGAACATTGAAGCTGTCAGTCCAGAATCTCATTGTTGATTAGTATCTCTCAAGTTTCTGTTTGACCTGAAACATTAAGCAATTAAGGAGTGATGATGAACAGGGCTTGGGTTTCCTCCTAAAAGACACTTATCACTTCTATATTAGATTAGTAAGTTACATGCTTTAAAATGTAGGGACATTGTAAAGTTACTTGTTTTTTCATTAAAACACAATGAAATGTACTAATAAGTAAATTTGCTGTTTTCTACTTCATTTTTTTTTCCCAGAAAATATGCAGCATGTGAACACAGATAGATTTCTGAACTTCACAGGAAATGTAACCCTTCAGAGGGTTCTGTAGGATGTGTGCTCTTGTTGCTAAGAGGCAGATACATATTTAAAAATGTAAAACTAAGGCTGGGAAAAGAGCTCAGTGGTGGAGTGCCTTCTTAACATGTGTGAGGCCCTTGCTTCAGTTCCTAACACTGCAGGATGGATAGATGGGTGGGTGGGTGGGGTGGATGGGTGGATGGTTGGTGGGATGGGTGGATGGATGTTTGGAGGGGATGGGTGCGTGGGTGGGATGGATAGATGGTGGATGGATTAGAATGTTTGTGGGGCTAGGCTAAGAGGTTCTAATAAACTCTGGTGTGCAGAAGCAAGAATTAGTGGAACGGCACGGTCCTTGCTCACTGCCTCCTGGAGTCCTTGCCCTTTCTTCTTGGTTTCTACTGCCTAAGCCATCCAAGCAGTTACATGATCATAAGCATATTATATAATCTGTGCCTCACTCAGTTTCATCAGCCTTTCAAGATACAGCCGTACCTGTTTCCCCCTATAGGCTTCAGGCAGACAGAATTGAAATAAGGTCTGTAGTATGTATTAGGAATGCCTTGAAAACTCTGTTTTCTCAATTCTTTTCATATGTCTTGATCTTCTTGATCCCAGTACAAAACAGAAAAAGATCCTTCTCATTCTGACCTTTCTCTTTTGTCCCTTCAAGTCTTCCTCTTTCCCAATCACGTACCCTTCACTCAGCTTGGCTTGCTACCTGTTTCTTCTCAGGAGGTCCCTGTGGGCATTGGGTATCCTGCTCATCTTCAAGCAGCGCTTCTTGGGGCAGCCTTTACTGATGTACCCGCAAGATGTGCGCCTGGCCTGAGTCAAGTGTCTTCAGGATCTAGTGTTACCCCAGGCATAGTGAGATACTAAATAAGTAGACTAGAAACCCATCTCATTGGTAATGTTTAATAGCTACTATTTTAGAATATGTTACCTACTAAATACAGTTTATGATACCTTCAACATCTTAACAGCCTTGGTTCATACTTAGCCTTTATAGTATTCTTCTGTGAAGAACCTTAAATCTGTTAACTTCAGACATTCAGTGCTGTAGGTAGATGGAAGGTCTCAGCTTAATGCTTGCATGCTACAAGTTAGGGCAGTTTCTTTACCTCTTTACTTCAGTTTGTTCTCTCTCTCTCTCTCTCTCTCTCTCTCTCTCTCTCTCTCTCTCTCTCACACACACACACACACACACACACACACACACACACACACACACGATAGGTTTTTAACCACCTCAGCAATGTATCAATCAGGCATCATCAAAACACCTAAGACAGTGCTTGACACACAGCAGACGCTGCAAGAAGCGTTAGGGTTTGTTTTTTTTTTTTTCCCTGTCACTGTGGGGTTAAATAGATGTGCTGTTTACTTAAATATGTCATTCGTTTTCTACATCTTTTTTTTTCCAGACCTATTCCATGGCAGTATATCTTGTAAAACAGTTGTCCTCAACAGTTCTTCTTCAGAGGTTACGAGCAAAGGGAATAAGGAATCCGGATCATTCTAGAGCTTTAAGTACGTATGATAAACTTACTTCATATATGCAGCTAAACTATCTTGTTAAGGTTAGAGTAGTGTTTTTCTCAACTCAGATTTTAGTGTTTCTTTTTTCTTTTTTGTTTTCTTTTTTAACTAGAACCTATTGTAGAGAATAAAAACTCCAAGAACCTAGTATTGTGGCTTGTAAATTAAGATCCAAAGGTAGTTTTAATGTCTTTGTCATGAAGCTATATTTGATGATCTGTGTTTTACAGATCTTAATATTTACTTTGTAAAGTTACTTCCTGAGTGCAATGTTTTATTACAACTTTATAAAACCAGTGTTTAAGAAATTTTAGGAGTTGGAAAGGAAATCTTGGCATGAATTTCAAGAACATTATTTTTGTTCTCAAGAATATTTTAGGGCTGGAGAGATGGCTAAGAGGTTAAGAGCACTGGCTGCTTTTAGAGGTCCTGAGTTCAATTCCCAGAAACCACAAGGTGGCTCACAACCATCTGTAGTGAGTTCTGGTGCCCTCTTCTGGCCCTCGGGCATACATGCAGGCAGAACACTGTATATGTAATAAATAAATCATTTTTTTGTTTTTAAAAAAGACTATCTTAGATCCAGGAGAAATACACACAGTTACATGAGGCTGTCTGCTTGCTTTCCCAAAATAAAAGAAGTCAGTGGGATGGTAGAAGGAAGTGTGTGACCTTGGACACATTTCTGAATTTCTTGTCTACTTACGATAGGTTTTTAACGTGTGATTTTTAAAAAATATTTTTTGAAAATTTTATCCATGCATACAGTGACGTGCGCGCGCGCGCACACACACACACACACACACACACACACACACATACAGCTTCCCCTTGGATGTTTTGTCTTGATATATTAAAACTGAAATTAAGTAAGATATGAAAAATGGACTTGTGTCTCAAGTCTTGAGCATCATTAGCTTTTCTAGAGAGTCTAAGTTCTTAATTCTCCTTTCAGGAGCTGTGGGTTCTTTGTAGGAGAATTAAAAGTAGGGTTCGGTGCTTAGGAAGCAGCACATTACGTACAAAATGTGACAGCTATCCTTGACTGTGTAGCTTAGGTTGGCTTCAAACCTGTGGTCCTCCTGCTTCAGTGCTGGGATCATAGGCATGGGCCACCACACCCTGCACTTGGAGCTCTTAAAATGAGTTAACAATAGCAGCCCATTCTGGGATTTGTCGTTAGCGTTCTGGTGGGAAGAAGTAAGATGCTAAGGCCAGCTTCATTGCAGCTCCCCTGGAGCACAGCTTGTATCCTTTCTCTACCCTGTTTCTGTAGCAGAATGACAGATCCCAGAAGCCCTGATGAGCTGAGCACCTGCAGTAGTTCACTCGAGATTCTTTTCCCTGTACTAAAAGGATCCTTTTGGAAATGCAAATAGCTGGGCATGGTGGTACACACCTACAGCCCCAGCTACTCAGCAGGCTGAGGCAGGAGGATCATTTAAATGGAGAGTCAGCAGAGGAACTAAAATGAAAGCACTGTTTGTGCATCTAGGGGAATGGAGTTAGAGACAAGAAAATAGTGGAGATCCTGACAGAGAAGAGAGGATAGATATCTACTTGGAAGTAATGTATAAGAGAAGAAGCATTTTTCCTTTTTTACAGCCTAGCTGCAGTCATTCCTGGCTGACTTCTTGCCTTGCATTGATAGATTTCAGCTAGTCAGAAAGCATTATGGAATTGTGTGGTAAACAGTGGTGGAAAAGACAGAGATACCATGGAAGAAGGAAGGTGAAGCTTTTGGATTTAACAACAAAGTGGGCTCTTGCACAGGCCTTCATTTCTTCTGCACTTGCAGCTAGAGTGCCACCTAAAGGTCATGTCAGGGGGCGTGGGTTGGCATTTCTAGGAACCCCATCCAGCTGCTGTTAAGCAACAAAACTGCTCAATTCCAAAGCCAGTTCCTTTGCATCTTTATGCCCTACTAGTCTGAGTGAGTTTTAGGGCAGTCCTGTTTTATCTTACTTGTTGGCCAAGTGAACAAATGGAACAGTAATTGGATTTTACCAGTAAGAAATATATTGCAGTTAACTAAAGGCATTCACCTCCATGTTACCTATGAAGAAATAACTTTCCCCAAAAGTTATGTCATTAAAATATTTTATATCTTATAAAATATGCTTATATTTATAAAAATAAATTGTTTAAGTTACGAGAAATGTACTTCTCAGGATTTTTTGTTTTTTTGTTTTTCGAGGCAAAGTTTCTCTGTGTAACAGTCCTTGCTGTCATGGAACTTGATCAGTAGACGAAGCTGGCCTTGAACTCACAGAGATCTGCCTGCCTCTGCCTCCCAAGTGCTAGGATTAAAGGCAGCTTCCACCACCGCCAGGCTTTCTTGGAATTTTTGAAGCATGAACTTGCTTACAATTGCACTGATTATAATTGATTCTTAACCTTGTAAGGAAGGTCTGCTGACAGTTGTATTAGTCAAGTCCATGCATGATCATGGTCTTGGAATAAGGTTGATAGAATTTAAAATTTAGACTTTTCATTGAGAAAATGCATTCTGTGGGCTGGAGAGATGGTTCAGCCAGTCAAGACTAGGCTCACAACCAAAACATCAAGATAAGATGAAGTGAGTTCTGTATTTTCATTTAAGAAATTAAATGCAGAGTCTGCTGTGTTCTAGGAACAGCAGAGCACAGCATTACACAAGACCTCACCTTCTCTGTGTCTCCCGAAAGTTTACAGTCTGATGGGAAAGACAGACCAAGTCATTATTAGTAAGTTACAGTTGTGACATGTGCCTTGAGGAAGGAAGGCAGGGAACTCTGAAGGACAGCTTGGGGCATTCAGTTCCTCTGTCTGTGATGCCCCAGGATTGGAAGGGAGTGTGCCCAGTGAAAAGACCAGGGAAACTACAATATTGAAAAGGTTGAGACTAGCTGGGGTGGGATGGGGGCACTGTGTGAATTCATAGGTGCTATAAAGGTAGGTGGTAGAAAGCCATAAAAGAATTCTTAACCAGAGGAATGACATGGTCAGTTTTGAACCATCTGATCATCAGCTGGGGGATGAGCAAGGGGGGAAGTCTGATGCCCTGGAGCCAGTTAGGGACCTTTCACTTAAAAAACCAAAAGAAGGGGCTGGAGAGATGGCTCAGTGGTTAAGAGCACCGACTGCTCTTCCAGAGGTCCTGAGTTCAATTCCCAGCAACCACATGGTGGCTCACAACCATCTGTAATGAGATCTGGTGCCCTCTTCTGGCCAGCAGGAACACATGCAGGCAGAATACTGTATACATAATAAATAAATATATCTTTTTTAAAAAAAAAAAGAAGTTTGTGTGAGTGAGTGAGAGAGAGAGAGTGAGCGTGTGTGTGCAGGTGTGTGGGTGTGTGTAGGGTGGAAGCCAGAGGACAACGTTGGAGTCCTTTCTTCCACCTTTGCATATGCTCCAGGGGTCAGTTTGTGCAGCATGCCCCTTAACTCACTGAATACCACACTGGCCTGCATTCTTAAGCACATTAATTCTATTCCACATTAATGCTATTTCTGAACTGGCAAATGAAATTTTCAAGAGGAGATTGTGAAGGAGCTGACTGTACTTTTAGACCTGTGGTGTTTGAGGTGGCAGTGCTCAGAAAGAGCGGTACATACCTGACACCCCACTGGACCTTCACTCACATTGCTAGTTCCTCTGGTCTCCTCAGGTGTTCTGACAGCTCTCCTGTTAAGTCTTCTTCATATCTTAACTCTGTGTCTAGCTGGGTAGTGATAGCACACGCCTTTAATCCCAGCACTTGGAAGGCAGAGGCAGCTATCTCTTGAGTTGCAGGCCAGCCAGGGCTAGACAGTGAAACCTTGTCTCAAAAACAAAAACAAACAAAACACAACCACTCTGCTGCCTCTTTGTCCTATTTCTCTCAACAAAGGCGGTCTGCATTGCTCTGTGTACCTCCTCTGTGCCGCTCACATAGTCTGAGCCTCCAGTTCCCCTGAATGTGCTCAGGCAGTGACTGAAGTGGTGCTCTCACTGCTCTGTCCAACCTCTTGGATGCTTTCCTGCATTGGATACCAACCTCTTCTCCTTGAAATTGTCCCCTCCCTCTTCTGACCTCAACCCCTTCCTTCAGGGGACTGAGAAAGAAACATCCTAATGCTGGGCATAGTGGCCCTTAATCTCAGCATGGGGAGGGAGAGGGAGACTGGAAGTTAAGAGGCCAGACAGGACTATGTAGTGAGATCCTGGGGGTGCGGGTGGGAGTATATTGTAAATGTTCCCTGGAATTCCATGCTTGTTCTGCTTTTCACGTCCACCGTTACTGCTTAAACTAGTCCTAACTCCCAAATACAAATCTTCATTCAATTCTCTTCTCCAATTTGAGATTGCATAAGCTGACTGCCTTCTCCTAAACATTGCTCTACTTCATCAGAAGCAAGAATTTGAAGTTTATCCAGCTTTGTCAACTGCCAACTAACCCTTTCTCAAATCTGTCTTCTGCCATTGCCCTCGTTCAAACCCTTACATCTTGTCTTTATCTTTAGAAGCTTTGTCCTAAATGATGTATTCCACCCTTTCTTGGCTTTTCTTGTCTCTTCCCTGGTAGCTGCCTATATTATTGACACACATCTGATCTTAGCATTCTCTTTGATCCCCTGAACTCCTGACACCAGTGGAATGAAATCTCCAGCTTCATTTGTGTGACACACAACATGGATATGACGTTCTTAGTACTTCCCCAGATCTCTCTTTTACTCTTCCCATACTTTACTTCGTAAAGACCCATCATATACTCTCCATCTCTTCCCCCACCGAGAGTTCTCTATGCTTCCAGCTGCTTCTACTGCCTCACTCCAATGGTCCTTTGTTTCCCAGCACCTCCAGAGTCTCTTGGCTCCTATCATCTGGAGAGGACCCCACTGAGCATCTTCTCCTGCTGGCTCTCATATCATTCTTCTTGGAGTTCTCAGTGCCCCACACAGTCCCTTGACACATAGTATACTGACATTTTGTTGAGTTACTCTATCTCTAAAAACAAAACAAACATGGATTCAATAGCAAGATGACATTTACACCTGACTAGTTCTAACTTTAGTCATAAAGTGCTCTTACCCCTGCAACTCATAGTAACACAAGAAAACCACCTCTAGAGAACCTCCTACAGATCACAGGGCATTAGTTATTAACAGGGTGCAAAGGTTTGCTTTTCCTGCCTCCGAGGTATCCAACTGTTCCAGCAGCGTTGCTTTAAAGGGATATTTTCCCCTCATTTCATTTCTTTGGCTTTTTGTCAAAAACTGATTGACCATAGGTATGTGAATCTATTTCTGGACTCTTCCATTGGCCACATTCTCAGTTATTGTGGCCTCTTAGCAAGCCTTGAAATCAAGAGTCTCCCCCCTTTTTCTTTTTCTGTTATTTTGATTATTATAAGTCCCTTATGGAAAATGGTATTCCAGGAAGTTGACTGAGCTTTGGAAAGTTAATCTATAATTCACTTTTTAATTACTACCTCTCTAGATGCAAAAGAGACAGTTGGCTAAATTTAACATCTATTCCTGATAAAACTCTCAGCAAAATATTAATGAAACAAGATGGAAACTGCCTCAATGTTACAAACATTTACAAAAAAACTTGAGTTAATATCCTAGTTAATGGTAAAAACTTGAATCTTCTAAGACTATGAATAAAGTTGTTGAGTGTTGGTGTCTACTGGTTGCTCTGAGGTCCTAGCCAGCACAACAAGGAAAGGAAACATAAAGATTAGAGGGTCAGAAATAATTATCTTTATTTGCAGATTATTTACACAGAAAAAAAGACCCAAAAAATCTCTAAAGAAGCTGCTAGAATAAATACATGAGTTGGAGAATTCATGATCAATACATCTAACTGAATTGTATTTATTATTAATGCATAATTGGAAAATGTTGAAATTCAGACAGTTATACATCCTTAGAGACATGTGTCATAAAAGATGTGCAAGGTGTAGATGCTGGAAACTATGAGAAACCCAGCTGGAGACTTGAGTTAGACGGAGAGAGAGACTGTGTTAGAGCAGAAGACAGCATGACTACATGCCAGTTTCCTAGTTCATCATCAAGAGATGCAGTCCAGTCAAGAACCTAGTCAGATCTTTGAAAGTATCTTCAACAGGGCAGGGCTGGGCATCCAGCTCCACCAGAGAGCACTCGCTTGCTTAGCAGGCACAAGACCCTGGGTTCAGTCCCTAATTGTGGGATATGCTTTATTACTAACACATTTACATTAAGAATATAGTCAAGTTAGTAGTTTTCTGCACAGTTTAAAAAGAGTCACAGACTTTTTACCCATGTTCAGAATAGCTCAGTTGGTAACAGTGTTTTCTGTTTCTCGGGAGATGAGTTCCATTTTGTCACTCCTTCTAACTACAGCCTCCTAGAAGATTATTCCACTGCCTTTGTAAGACTGGTTGTGTCAGCATCTGCCGTGGTGCTTAGTAAATGAGATTTCTATAACACATGCTGGTGCTGCACGTACTTGTTCACACGGCCCTCTTTCTGATACTGCAGTACAGCAATCAGCTAGCCATTCTCCTTCAGGAGCTGCCGGATGGTCTCCCTATTGACCATGGCCTTGCCACACATCCTGTGGATGCAAAGATGACCAATATATTGTGGAATAGATTAGAACCCTCAATCTGGAGCAGCTGAGCTGCTCATAGCTGACGCAGAGCCTACATTACCTCACTTTTTACAAAATGTATTTTAAGACTAGGATTGGGTCTGTTCTAGCAAAGGTGATTTCTGCCTGTTTGCTGCTTGTAATAGAGATCTGCAAGTATGACTTCAGAAAATCTATCTCCGAGAGAAGGAACATGCAAATCATTTTAAGTAACAACTACTAGCATTTATTAAATATAATATTAGGTATTTTAAGACATTTTTCCTAGGGTTAAACTCATTTAATCCAATGCTGTGAGATAACTGTTATTCTCATTTACTAGATTATGGGAAAAGTTACCAAAGTGACTTGACAAAATGTCAAAATTCTGACTTACTGGCCCAATGTCATATATCCTGTGGGACCTCCTCTGTTTGTTACCTTTCTAAGTACTGACCACTGAGTTTTGATTTGAAGGCTGTTGCTACATTCAAGTGCAAGTTTACACAAAGCTCAGACAGTCACTATTACCATTAAAGTGTAGGAGGGTGCAGCTGGACCGATTGGTAAAGGCATGCAGAGTAGACAATCTTACTCGGGGTCCTTTAGAGCACGTGAGAAGCAGGAGGATAAAAAAAAAGAAAGACTGGTGAGAAGAACTAATAGAGGACGTGGCTTGCATGTTTGTAGAGGCTGAGAGGTCCCAGTGTGCCATCTGCAAACTAGAAAAGCAGGGAAGGAAGCCCGGCTGAGCTGAGGTCCAGAGTTATCAATGAGATAACCCCCAGCTAGGGCTGATGGTGGCTGGATAGCTCTGGGGTGCTAGTGTGAACACTAAAATCCGAAGGCTAATTCCAGTGTTCTTCTGTTCTGTCCTGCCCACTTCCTAGCTCCCTTCACAGTTAAGTGGAGAGTCCCACTGACACTGAGGGCAGCTCTTACCGTACCTAGTTCATGGACTCCCATGCCAGTCTCTTCTGGCTCCCTTGGGAACACATTTGAATTCTATTTTCATGTTTATTTTCTGTGGCCGATATTTGTTGTCCCTGGGGATTAGAGAGTTAGGATTTGTTACTGTTAATTGGAATTTTTGTTTTGTAACAGAGTCTCATACTGTAGCCCAGGCTATCCTGGAATTCACTGTGTAGACCAGGCTGGCCTGGAACTCACAGCAATCCTTCTGGGATTACAAAGTCACTTTGCCCTACTAATTAAGTTAGTTATCTTTCAAATTATTTTATAAGAAAGGATTAGCTAAGGTTGGGTGAATAGTGACAAACACATAAATTCCTAATTTATATTTGGTATTAGTTAGTATAGTGTCTTGATGGCCCTATTTTTCAAACTGAAATCCAGAGGTTTTGTGGCTTAAGGGATATGAAAGTCGGACTTCAAAAACTTTGGATTTGTAGTCTACAAAATACCTTCTTAGTATGGCATCAGAATCTCTGTTGAGCTTTTTAAACCATTGATTCATATCCCTCTTCCCTAGTCTAATGTAGTGGTCGGTTAATAAATTAGAACGCTCCAGGTGTAATTCAGATGTACTTCTATGTGGAGATTCCTAATGTAAAAAAATACTTTAGTAGACTGTCCAAAACTTGGGCCATCTTAAAATTCCAAACTGTGTGTGTGTGATCACGTGCTTCATCAAGGCTGGCTTCTTAGTTCTGTTAGTGGCAGTCAGTACTCAGACATTTGCTTGTCAGTTTGTCCTTCCTCCACTCCATTTTCTTCACTGTGTCATCAGTGTTGTCACGATTACTGCACAGAAGCCCTGAAATTGTGGTTGGTTGTGCTCACAACCACTCCACCACAGGCCCCTATTTCTAAGACTTTCGGAATATATTCTCTGGTCATTTCCTGACTCGGTGTTTTCTGTTGTTGGCTGCTGTCTTCGGAGGTTAACTGCTGCCCAGGGTTTACACTTGGTCTCTCAGTGTTGTGCTGCTGTGAAGAGACACCATGACCATGTCAGTGCTTACAAAAGGAAGCATTTAATTAGGGCTTGCTGACAGCTTCAAAGGCTTATCCATTATCATCATGGCAGGGAGCATGAAGGCAAGCAGGCACCAGCTGGAGCGGTAGGGAGAACTACATCCTGACCCGCAGGCCAGGAGAGAATGGGCTTGGCTTGGGCTTTTGAAACCTCAAAGCCCACCCCCATTGACACACTTCCCTCAACAAGACCACACCTCCTGATCCTTTTCAAATAGTGCCACTCCCTGGTGACTAAGCATTCAACTGTATGAACCTGTCGGGGCTGTTCTCACTCAAAACCCCACATGTGGGACAGATAGAGAATCTTTTCTAGTAAACTGGAGGACAGTAAAAGAAGAGCCATGAAAAGTACAATTATTGCTGGCTCCTTTTTAAAAGTTGTAAGAAGTTTGAACTGAAAAGACTTAAGAAGTTATCTGGTGTACCTTCCAGATTTACTGACAGTAACATTTAGCTGAAAGAGGCAGATTGACTTGCTAAAGATTCACAGTGAGTTAATGGGTAGACGGCAGGATTCAGCTTTGTGGTAAAGAAAATAGTTGGACCTTTTCTTTTCATAACATGTTTATCATTGATCTTTATTACTCCCCCCCTCTTTTGTTGTTGTTTTTTGAGACAGGGTTTCTCTGTGCAGCTTTAGAGCCTGTTATGGGACTTACTCTGCAGACCAGGCTGGCCTGGAACTCACAGAGATTCATCTGCCTCTGCCTCCCAAGTGCTGGGATTAAAGACGTGAGCCACCACCGCCCGACTTTATTACTTTCCTTTAAGAGAATACAGATTATTCATAATTTTAAAGAAAATCACTGGTGTCTTAGAATAATAACTAAAAGGGGCCACCCATCCCTGAACATGTAAGCTGCTGTTGAGCGTTTCTATGGACCATCATGCAGGGCCAGTGCTCTGCAGGAGCTTCAGCTAGGCTGCGGAGTGAGGCTCTTCTTCCCTTGCTTCCTCTGAAGGATATAAGCTGTGTGACTGCTCTTAGCGTTCCTTCGGTTGATTAGAAGAGAATTGAGTAGATTATTTTTGACTTATTTAGCTTTTAGATTTTAAGCTCCTTTTTAAATATGTTATATTGGTAATATCTTTAATAAACTTATTCTGTTTGTTTTCTCTTCAATACATTTCAGTTAAAGAGAAATTAACTGCAGATCCAGACAGTGAAATAGCCACCACCAGCCTGCGGGTTTCCCTGCTGTGTCCAGTAAGTGTTTGCTAATGCTTGTCTTGAGGGTAGTATATATACTTCTTCTTTCTACTGAACATGAGAAATTCTGCTTACTTCAAGAATCTACCCACTCTACACTTTATCAAAATGGAGAGACACTGAGGAGTAGGACTGTGAGCTGAATAATTCTGAAGTGTGCTTCTCTAATGGTGTAGATCATCTAAGTACTGCCTCAGTAAATAACTGCACAGCTGTTTTTCAGGTTCCAGTTAAAAGAGCGGAGTAAGGAGTGCTGTAGACTGTTCACACACACACACACACACACACACACACACACACACACACACACACACACACACACACGAGAGCACTAGGCCTAGTGACCCATGCCTATAATCTCAGAACTTGGGGTGAGGTGAGGTGCTGAGTCAGATGGATTACCATGAGTTCAAGGCCAGCTGAACTACCCCCGTCTCAATTTTTAAAAAAAGAAAGAGGAGAAAATCCTGTTGTGCCTGACTGCATTCCTTATGCCTATAGAATTAACTTAAGAGTACTTATAAACCAGAAAGGGAAGTTTAAGAAACAGTCGTTTGAATGAAACAAATATCAAGTCATAAGATTTTACCAAATTATTAAACCTATAAGCAAAAAAATAGTGTTGTTGAAGTTCATTTCATACCTAATTTATTGGGCCCATCAGCATTAGGGATGGCAATTGAATATTGCCTTCATATGAAAGAAGGTGAAAATTAGTAATAAATTACTGCCATTTTGATTACCTCTTGTTCTATAATCAAATGAACTATTTAAATGTATGAAGAATGAAAGGATATATGTGTTTCCTGATTTGCCTGGATTGTTCAGAAAGGCGCTATCATAGTGAAAGCTTTCAGCATTGAGACCCCACTAACTGGTAGGTAGTTCTTGTGTTCTTAAAGGAGTAAAAGGTTTCTTAGCCTTGTATTGCTTACTAAGCCTTGACTTGAATATAAAGTCATTGGTGAATGATTAGTTTTCAGTTCTGTCCTTTCCGTGTTTCCTAAAGCTGGGATCCGTACTCTTGACACACTTTCATGGCCATAGAAGAAACACAACAGGAGCCACTAAGACCTGTTGCCATGGCTCTGTCAGCTGCTCTACGGAGGGCTTTCCTTCTGAATCTTCTTTATAGCCCGTCTCCTTAAGAAAAGTTTTGTTAGTTAGGCTGTTTTGTTTTTCAAGACAGGATTTCTCTGTGTAGCTCTGGCTGTCCTGGAACTCACTTTGTAGACCAGGACAAACTCAGAGATCTGCCTGCCTCTGCCTCCTGAGTGTGCCATCACTGCCCAGCTAGGTTATTATTATTAAAAGTTCTTTAATAACCAGATAAATGTTATAACAGCCTAAACATAGGCTGTAAAGGAACCTAGGGTTGGGGGCTGGAGAGATGACTCAGTGGTTAAGAGCACTGACTGCTCTTCCAGAGGTCCTGAGTTCAATTCCCAGCAATCACATGGTGGCTCACAACCGCCTGTAATGAGATCTGGTGCCCTCTTCTGGCCTGCAGTCATACATGCTGTATACATAATAAATAAATAAATTAAAAAAAAAAAAGGAACCTAAGGTTGTTGTTGTTTATAAATTGATAAATATACATGTGGAAATAGTTGGAGAATAAAAGGACAATCGATTTTTTTTTAAGAAGCACAAAGTTGGCTCAAGACCAGGAAGGTAGAAGATAAGACAGAGGGGGAAAAAAAACTTAAAAATAAGCAAAATATTTTAAAATGTCATATTTCATTCTTTTTCTCCAAATCCCAACTTAACTGCTTCATTTCTTGCTACTTCATTTCATTGTAAAACCCCAGTGGACAGGTTATGATAAATTTAGAAACATACAGAAGCTTCATTTCCCACTCAGATCACTAGAGGAGTCTTGTTTCTTGGCATTCCCAACCTAAAAGTGTTTACAGCTGCGCTAATATGTAGTATTTATAATGTTGAGCAGTCACACGAAATGTGTTCATATAAAGAAGCAGCCCAAGGTATACGGTGGCAGTTTTATTTATGGAATGAATTTTGCATTCTATGCTTCAGGTGCTTTCCCATGTTACTAGAAATATTGATCACATTTTGCTTCTTACACTTCTTGATTTAGTGAGCCAGCTTCTAATTTTTATTCCAAGTCCCCCTGTGCTCCTCTCTCATTAGTTCCAACAGTTTTAGCAATTCATTGTAAATTAGCATCTGCTTTCAAAATTCAGATTATAAAAAAAAACTACTATAAATAATATATAATTACAATAAGTCATGACTTCCTATCTGGCTAAAGGGATAACTTCCTACAGTTACTGGAACATCAAGGCCATATATTTTAGGTATGTTTTTGCTCAAAAATAAAATACAGTTGTGATAACTCATCTTTATATCACATTTATGGAATCATAAAAAGAGATTTGTTCTTTGAAATATGTAAATATGCCATCTTAGTGTGCATTTCTATTTCCCTTTTGTAATATGCAGAGCTCAGAATAAATGAGTTTCTGTTATTTGTGTGCCATTTAGCTAAAGGCAACAAAAATAATTAAAATGTCTTTGCTCTTTGAGGATTGTCAGTTCTAATTTATTAAGAACAGAAATGGAAATGTTGAGAAGTCAGATATGAGCTGTGCCACGGATCTATCCAAATGCAGATATTTTAGAGTTTATAGAAGAAAAAATAAACTAGAAATTTATTTTATGAGTATTTATTAGTATGAAAAACTTAGGAAATGTTTTTTCCTTATATCAATCATCCTTTGTATTTATAAGAAAAAGTCCACGTTGTCATGAACATTGTAGGGTCCTGCTGGTGGACACTGGCTTAGACTTAGGTTTTTCTCGTGCAGCATCATGAGCTGTACACACCGTGAGTAAAGTCAGCCTCACTAGAAAACATCCGGGGCTTGTTTATGTGTGTCTGTGAATGACGCAAACATCCGTTTGTCCCACAAAGGAAGAGAACTTTAAAATCAAGACTAAACTGCTCAGCGCTCACCCTTTCCGACACCAACTTGTAGCATGAATCTTAAAAGTTCTTATTAATAAAATCAAACCCGGAACCAAGTATTGGGGTGAACACTGGAAGATCAGAGAGACAGAACAAGCCACAGCTAACCTCACCTGGCCAACTTCTCAGCTGATCTTGTTTCCTCAGACTGGAAGCCTCTGTGTCCTCATATCCGAATGGCTCTCAGCTGAACTGTGCTGCTCAAAACCTAAAAGCTTAACCAGCCAAAAGCTTAACCAGCCAAATGCTTCTAGTTCCTGGTCCTCACGCCTTATGTATCTTTCTGCCTTCTACCATCACTCCCTGGGATTAAAGGCTCGATTTCTGGGATTAAAGGTGTGAGTCACCATGCTTGGCTGTATCCTTGAACACATGGATTTCTGCCTAGCTCTGCCTCCCAAGTGCTGGGATTAAAGGCGTGTGCTACCCGTGCCTGTCCTCTATGTTTAATATTGTGGCTGTTCTGTCTTTGACCCCAGATAAGTTTATTAGGGTGCACAATATTTCGGGGAACACAATACCACCACACCAACTTAGAGATAATCGATGCGTGTTTGTCTGATAGACACTTAAATCTTTAGTGACTGATTTTAAAAATCAGAGACAGGAGGATTTTTTACACAAGAGTTATTTTATAATTCTTTGAGGTGGCATTTGTAGTATAAATACTAAAAGGCTATACCTTTGAGCATGAACTTCTGCTTTCTTATGCTATTTATGACTCTCATTCCTGTACTGTTTCCCTATCAGTTTGCATTCAGACTGTAGGTCACCTTGTCGGTGACGCTCACCACAAAGGCATGGGATCTTTTTTTTGCCTATATGCACCAAGGGCTAACTAAACAGCTTCATGACACCTTTTACTGAACTTGTATTCAGTTCTTATGATTTGATTTCCATAAGCACATAAGAAAAGGCCAAAGAACACAGTAGTTCTGGCAACAGAAATCTATTGCCTGTTTGCCATTAGCTAAGTCCAGCAAGCTTTTCCAAGTTATGATCTAGTTGATGGTGCCAAATTAAATTTTCATCTTTTTGTTTTTATATACATTTAGTGGGAGGGCCATTTGGTTTTTGAAACTGAGAATCATATTGCCCAGACGGGCCTCAGACTCGCTATTCTGTCCAAGGATGATCTTGAAGAGTTTCTAGTGTTTAAGTGTTGGGATTCCAGCCGCACATCTGAGTCACACACAACACAGGAACTCAGAACTTCCTGCATGTGAGGCAGATGTTCTACGGACTATACCTCAGTCCCAATTCAGTTTTTATCTTAAATTAGACCTTAACTGTGAAATGCAGATTCCTATGGTTGCTTAATATTAAGTGAAGAAACCATAGGCTGAAAGTCCTATGGGAGCTCAGTGCCAGCACACTAAGCTCCCAGCTGCAGAGCTATTAGGCTCCTCCTGATGCTTCATGGAGACAGTGAGTAAGATAGGAAGAAGGATGATTTCAAAATGCAAGCACCAGGCCATAGAATTTACACTTTGAAAGAGGTAGTTTTCGAAGGCTTTCCTTTCACATGCCTTTATTCCTCTAATCCCCAGCTGTCAGTCACATCTTTCAGACATAAGGAGTTTCTCTTAGGACTGCTAGTGTGTACAGCTGACAGTTTATCAGTATATACAAGACTATCATTCCACAGTATAGCAGGTACTTTTCCAAAGCTGGGGACAAGGACATGAGTCTGACCTATTTCCCATAGGAGATACACAAACAAATAGTATAATCTTACTTAGGTAAGGCTAGAGCTGGGACACAAGAGATGAGCATGCTTATTTTACTCTGGATCTCTCCTCTCCCTGCTTTGGATATAATAAAGGGAGATTCCTCCTGTTTTAAGCTGATCATGTGTCCAGTGTCCTTTTTAAATTCTTCATCACTGCATCCGGTGGAAATAAGGAGGAAATGGTGCTACTTTCCAGATAGAAAAGGAGGCCCAGAGAGGTTAAGTGTCTGCCCAAGAAGTACAGTAAATCATTGGTACCAGAACAATAATTTAGGGCCCTGTGACAGTTGGTTTCCTCAGTAGACCAGGAAATTTCACATTTCCCTAAAATTTTTGTAAGCCAAGAACTTTTTTTCTCTTTTAACTCACAAACATACAGAAAGTCTTTTTCCATGAACTTAGAAAGTAATGTCATTGCTGGGCGGTGGTGGCGCACGCCTTTAGTCCCAGCACTCGGGAGGCAGAGCCAGGCGGATCTCTGTGAGTTCGAGGCCAGCCTGGTCTACCAAGTGAGTTCCAGGAAAAGGCGCAAAGCTACACAGAGAAACCCTGTCTCGAAAAGAAAAAAAAAAAAAAAAGAAAGTAATGTCATTTATATAAAGTGAGGAGCTTACATGCTCTGTGGCCATTATAGACTTTGGGAACCTATAGTAGTCATGATACAGCATTCCTTGTGCAGGTCCCCAGGCAAGGGTTCTACCTTGGGCCCAAACAAGCAGCTTAGGACAAAGAAGATGTTTATATGTGGGATAGAGTCAGTCTGTGTCAACTCAACAATTAAAATGAGGCAAGAAAAATATCCTGAATTGTCTAGTCATGCTTGAAACCCAGGGATGCTGACTGTGATTATAGAGGAATACAGAGTGCACACCACCTGCCTTCTGTTCCAAGCTACCCCCAGCCATTATGCCTCACACTGGAGGAAATGGGTGATTTTGGCTTCATCTTGTGAACTAGAGGTCATTCAGAGATGAAGATAGAGTCCATACTGATCTCTGTGACTAGCCATAGTTCATTCTTTTTATGAATGTTTAATTAGATGTTTCTTAACTTTTTTCAGATCAAAGACTGATTTAATAATGTGAGAGTGTGAGAGGGATGGGAATATAACTCAGGGGTAGAGTGCTTGGCTAGCATACACAAGGCCCCAGGTTCAATTCCCAACGTCACACACACACACACACACACACACACACACACACACACACACACACACACACACACACACACTGTAGAGGTAGTAAATGCCTTGTGGTAGACTAAATAGTCACTGTTTTGATATTCAGAGATATACTGTAGTGTTTAACCTGCAGGCAGGTTTCTCAAAATAATGTGTTTTATGTTCTTCTGTGGTATTAAAACACAAACAGTGCAGATGCAGCATATTTTTTATATTAAAACTTGAAATATTGAAATTAAAATGTAAGTATAACACTTTCCCATTTCCCTTTCTTCTAATCCCTCTCAGGTACCCACTCCCTTGCTCCCTCTTAAAATCATGGCCTCTTTTTCTTCAAGTGTTATTATTACATACATTTGTATTTGTACACATATGTATTCCTAAGTATGTAAATACAGCCTGCTCAGTCCATATGATGGACTGCTACTTGTATGTATGTAATTTCAGGGCTGGCCATTGGGTATCTGATAACCAGTTAGGTTATCCCTGGGAAGACTGCTCCTCCTGCTCTCAGCCTTGCTGAGTTGCCTCTGTATAGTTCTTTGTCTAGGGGTGGGGCCCGGTGAGATTCCCCTGTACCATCTTAGCATCTCTGTTGGTGTGATCCTTGTTCAGGTCCTGTTCAGGCAACCATGTTGTTCGGTTTTGTGGGTAAGAAGCTTCCCTGTCATTTCTAGGAAACAGTGTCAGCGGATTTCATGCTTCTCTGACTAATGTCTTCCTGCCCCTCTTCCATGATGTTCACTGTGCCTTAGGTGCAGGGGTTGTGCACACAACAAGCTTTAAATTATAATACATGTACATTGTATTTCAGGAAATCATTAGCAGAACCTAAGTTTGAATAGCAGATACTAACATTGACCTTCCCCTTCTTTGAAAGCTCGGGAAAATGCGGCTGACAATTCCATGTCGGGCACTTACCTGTTCCCACCTTCAGTGTTTTGATGCAACTCTTTATATTCAAATGAATGAGAAAAAACCAACGTGGGTTTGTCCTGTCTGTGATAAGAAGGCTCCGTATGAACACCTTATTATTGATGGGTATGTATGTTTCCATTTCTCCTTGTGTTTTAAAATGACCCTGTTAGCCCAGTTTGTCACCATCAGGTTTGAGATAAAACCTAGAGGGACATTTTTCAAAGTAGGATTTTCATTATTCTAGAAATCAGTGAGTAATTAACATTGTAAATACTTTCCATCTTTCAGGGTTGTTTTTAAACATTTATTGGTGGCATAGTGTGCACATGGGAGTTAGAGGACAACATTGGAGAATTGGTTCTTGCCTTCTACCATGTGTGTTTTGGGGGTCAAACTTGGCAGCAGGAACCTTCCACTGAGCCATCTCGGTGTCTCCCCAACCCTTTAAAAATTTTTTAACATTGAATTTTATTTATGTCGTGTGTGTTCATCTTGTTTTGAAAACAAGTGCGGGCTGGAGAGATGGCTCAACAGTTAAGAGCACTGGCTGCTCTTCCAGAGGTCCTGAGTTCAATTCCCAGCAATCACATGGTGGCTCACAACCACCTATAATGAGATCTGGTGCCCTCTTCTGGTGTGCAGGGACACATGCAGGCAGAACACTGTGTATATAATAAATAAATCTTTAAAAAAACACAAGTGCTTTTTCCTTTTCCTTTTCCTTCAGTACCTTCTGTTTACCATCTTAAGCACCACTAGTTCTAAACAGGGTATGCATATACTTTTGAGTACATCTAAGACCTACAGAATGCATTGGAGAAAGCATGGTTATTAGGAGGTTCTGGTAAACTCGAATTCATCCAAAATAAATAGATAAATAGATAATAAATAAATGAGAGCTTTTGGAGCTAAAGAGATGGCTCAGCAGTTAAGAGCCTATATTGCTTTTATAGTTCTCCCAGGTTCAGTTCCCAGACCAGGGGATCTGATGCCCTTTTCCATACTCCATGTGCACGCACACACACACACACACACACACACACACACACACACACACACACACACACACAGTTTAAACAATTTATAAATAATAAGGTCTCTTTTAAAAGTTGGACTTTTTAGTAGAAGGTAGCCAGTTTCTAGAGACTAGCTCTGCTTCTGTCCTGTCCATCAAGCCCTGTTCTCCACTCTCAGGGCTCCTGGAAAAGGGCAGCCAGCTGATAGTATCTCCCTTTGTTCTGCTGCTTGGGTTTCTATCCTTGCCTCGTGTTTCTTCTCTCTGTCTTTACCCTTGCCTCACAGTGCTCCACGGCTCTCCTTAAAATCCATCTGTCTGTGGTGTTTGAACCTCTGGCCATGAGGTTTGAACCTCATGGCCTCTGTCACTTCTGTCGGCTTCTGTTTGCCTTTTTCCACTGAACAAGAAACAAGGAAATGAACTGTGAAAAAGGAAAATGCCTACTAATATTTCTAATATTTTTCAGTAAAACACTCAAACAAGACAGTTTATTTATAGTATATGAGAAGGCATATGAGCCTGAAGGGAATAATACAAGCAATTGAATGTATTTATCAATAGACTTACAACCCAGAACTTTAAAGATGTCAGTCTTGGGAAAATATGAGTAGATAGCATTGTTTCCTGTTGGATTTTTCAGAAATGAAATGATAACTAACAAATTTAAATTAATAGTAATATTTTATCAGTTCTGTATAGTATATATCTTAGTTCTTTCCTTGTAATAAAATCTCTTCTCTCTTTCTCTCTCTGAAAAATAGAAAAAACAGGAAATAAAAGGCATTTTTGATATAACTTCCGGTTTTATTTTTATATAAATTCTAATTATATACTATTAATAACCTTGAGTCTTTGGTTTTATTTAACATTATAACCGGATAATTTGGCCACAGTGAACTTTATGCATTCCCTATAAATATTCTTTTAGTGCCAATGTATTATTTTATTTGGACTTAACTGTTGGTTGTATGGTTTTGTTTTGTTTTGTTTTGTTTTTGTTTTGTTTTTATTTTGTTTTTTTTTGTTTTTTTGTTTTTTTGTTTTTTTGAGACAGAGTTTCTCAAAGTAGCCCTGGCTGTCCTGGAACTCACTCTGTAGACCAGGCTGGCCTTGAACTCGTAGAGAACTGCCTGCCTCTAACTCCTGATTTAAAGCATACACCACCTCCACCCGGGTAGTTGTTACGTTTTTATATGTATGACTTTAGTTTATAAAATAAGACCTTATGAGCAATTTACAAGTGTATAGTATAAAGAAGAAAACTGAACACATAAACAACCACTACCCGGAGATAACTAGTGTGTGCTTTTATTCACACAGAGAATCTTGTTTTGAGATACCTTTTTTTTTTTCTTAACCATCTCAGTTTTTGTGAACTGAGATGTATTTGTATATTTAAAAATCTTAGGGCCACTGAGATGGCTCAGTGAGTAAAGGTGCTTGCTGCCGAGGCTGACAATCAGAGTTCAATCCCCAGGACTCACATGGTGGAAGTAGAGAACCAACTCCTACAAGTTGCCTTCAGACCTCCAAACATGCACTGTGGCAGCTACCTACCCATATAACACACACTAAAATATAAAGAGATTTTTAATTGTCTTTTTTTTCAAAGTTACAAAACATTTTATATGAATGTTCCACAATTTGAGTAACTATTTTCCCTATTTAGCATTAGGTTTTGAGAACAAATGTAATTTATCTGTTCTTTCTTTTCCTCCATTTACTATTTGTATAAAAACATAGAAAATTCTAAGTATTTTAAGAGTCAGATTTCTCATTTCTCTTCATTTAAAACTGCTATAATAAGGACAGATTGTTTGTCTAGGTTGTTTATGGAAATCCTAAAGTACTGTACAGACTGTGATGAGATACAGTTTAAAGAGGATGGCTCCTGGGCTCCGATGAGATCAAAAAAGGAAGTGCAGGAAGTTACTGCCTCGTACAACGGAGTCGACGGTGAGTAGCTGTCCACCAGTACAGTAGTCGCCACTGTGATGTACCATGGTCTTCACACTTTGGAACGTTCTGAACAGTACAAACAGCTCAATAATTGTTAGGTGATTGATTACATGTCCACAAATAGTGAGATTCCTTTTAAATCAACTTTGTTTGCCAGCCTTAAGATTTTTATGTTGCTAGCTTTCAGGGTAGTCTAAAGTCACTTTTCAAGTTATGGTTTTTGAAGCACTACCCTTTTAAAGGGTTTATAGTTTTGGTGCACAGTATTGAATGTTAGTTTTTTGTTTTTTTTCCTTCTCTCTTTTTTTCTTTTTCTTTCGTTTGCTTTCTTTTTTTGGACAGGGTCTCACTATGTAGCCCTATATGGCCTGGAGCTCACAGAGATCCACTTGCCTCTGATTCCTGAGTGCTGAGACCAAAAGTGTGTGCCATCACACCCAGCTCCTTTTTTCTTAAATATGTGGATAGGCTTGACTTTCAGTGTTTTGCTAGGAGGAGACAATGAAACTTTTTTTTAAATATCTTAGTATTTCCTAGGTATTTTGGATGCTGTATAGATAAACATATCTATACAGTCCTGCTCTAAAATACTTTTATTCTAAAGTAGACATAAAAGATACTTTTTTTTTTAAAGGTCTCTTCATGTATATAGCTCTGGCTGTCCTGGAACTCACTATGTAGACCAGGCTGGCCTTGAACGCACAGAGATCCGCCTGGCTCTGCCTCTAGAGTGCTGCAATTAAAGGCTTGTGCCACCACACCCAGCCAGCCATAAGATACATTTTGATTATTCTATTTGAAAATTGTTTTTCAAAATAGTTCATTAACAATAAGAAGTGGCAGTTTTAAACTTAGTAGAACAGAGCCACTGTTACTTCTCAGTTCTAGCTACAGTAGTGTTGCTCCTCTAAACTGATATGCTCATCTCCAGGGACCCTGAGAAAAGAGGAGAGTTGACACAGGTCTTATGCTTTAATCATTCCCACACAGGATGCTTGAGCTCCACATTGGAGCATCAGGTGACTTCACACAACCAATCCTCAAATAAAAACAAGAAAGTCGAAGTGATTGACCTAACCATAGACAGTTCATCAGATGAAGAAGAGGAAGAACCCTCTGCCAAGAGGACCTGTCCTTCCCTGTCTCCTACATCACCACTAAATAATAAAGGGTGAGTACTGCTAGAACTTTTCCAAAATCTCTGTTGTGAAAGCTTGTTTGGTAAGTAAGGTAAAGGCTGCCAGATAAACCACTATGCTTGAGTGCAGAATGTAGATTGACTTTTCCCAGGGATGCAGCATTCTTGAGGAATTAGAGTACTACACTACAAGAGTTTGGATATAAGATTCATCATATCAAGAGATGCTTCTGGGCCTAGAGAGATGCATCAGCGATTAAGGATACTTGGTGCTCTTGCAGAGGACCTAAATTCAGTTCCCAGCATCCACATGATGGCTCACAACTGCCTGTAACTTGAGCTCCAAGGGATCTGATGCTGCCTTCTGGCCTCCAGGAGTGCACATGCACACACACAATTTTTTTTAAAAGATGGTTCTAGTGTGTACAGTAGTTTTGATACACATCAGAATCATCAAGAGTTTTGCTTACATTTAACCATTCTTTTTTGTTTTGTTTTTAATAAAGACTCATTTGTTTTGTGTCTGTGTCGGGAGGTCAGAAAACAACCTTCAGGAACTGGTTCTTTCCTTCCACCATGTGGGTCCCAGATCAAACTTAGATCGATAGACTTAGTAGCAAGTGCCTTTACTTGCTGAGCAATTTCACTAGCCCTCATTGAACCAATTTTTGATTAATATTGTAAATAGAATTACTCTTGGACCAGGTGTGGTGGTGCACACCTTTAATCCCAGTACGTGGGAGGCAGAGGCAGGTGGATCTCTGAGTTCCAGGCCAGCCTGGTCTATAGAATAGGGACTCCCCCACCCCCATGCTCTTTCCCTGTGTCCTCTCCTCTTCGTTTGTGGTGTGGCTTTCCTTCCAGTATCTTTTTGCAGTCTTTATCCTGGTGCCTGGTGACAGCCACCTTGCTAGAGCGAGTGCCACATGACAGACAGTTGAACCACTAGTCTTTCCCACACTGGGTTTGTTCAATGTAGACAATACATTTCCTTTTGTGAACTCAGACTGCTCTGCCGACCCTCATGGTGTCCTTGAACAACCCAGACTTCCTCACCCTTTGGGGGCGGGGTGGGGTGGGGTGGGGGTGGACAGAAGAGTGCAATCTCAGCTCTTGGGAAAGAGGGCAAGACTGATCTTCCTCTGAATCTGAGGAGGTGATTGAAGTGCCTTTCATAGTTGCTACCCAGGTCAGAAGCCACAAAGGGATTAGACTTCATTTTGGCATGCATATAGGGTTTAGAACACTGGCTAAAAACTGGAACCTACTCGCTATCAAGTTAACTCTGAGCACTTACAGTAGAAAGTTGAGTGCACCTGACCATTGAAGCTGGCTATAGACGTGTGTGAGCTGCCAGGCAAGATCTGTGATGACTTGGCTTGCCTTCACAGTAGCCCTGTTCTTGTTGCCTTTGTTTCCCAGGAGCCTCCCATCATGTTGTAACTTGGAGCTGGAGATTGTAGCACACATTTATAATCCCATCACTCATAAGGCTGGCAATAGTGGCAATAGAATTGCCACAAGTTTGAGGCCAGCCTGAACTAGATGACATCATATAAAAAAAATCAGTTGTCATAACAATTTTAATGTAGTAAGTGTTCTGAGGAACTTAGAGGCCAGAGGATATGCTTAGATGATACATAAATCCTATGACACATGAGGGACCAAAAAAAAAAAAAAAAATGACCTTGGATCTGTATATCTGCAGGAGGTCCTAGAACCAACCCCTCTCCCCCCACAGATATCTGAAGAAAACTGTATTGTCAAATTTTTGTGCCGTAATTGCAAAATTAAAAGACACTTTCTTTTTTTTGGAGCTGGGGACTGAATCCAAGGCCTTGTGCTTGCTAGGCAAGCACTCTACCACTGAGCTAAATCCCAAACCCCAAGACACTTTCTAAAACGAGTATATAATACTTTAGGGTTAATTGTATGGCTGTTTTCTACTCTTCAGAATAGTCATATGTGAACTCTACAGTAGTTTTACTATCTGAGTATATTTTTTTCATCAGGAAAACTTTGGAGTCTTTAGAAATCTAGTATTTCTTCTTTGTATATTTACAGTTCCTCCCAAAATAGCTCTGTTTATTATGTTTGGAAAATTACATTAGTTGCATTAACTACTTCCCTGAATTTTTGCCCATGATGAATTGTGCCTAGATATAGCTTTGCAAATGCTACACCTTTATCTCTGACTGTGTAGATAAAACCTGGATGTCTCTAGCATCTTTAAAAGAATGACGACTATGCCGCACTGTGAGTGTCACAGCAGCACCCAGCTGCCAGCTAGAGCAGTACTGTCCCTGCTGTTGTGCACTGTAATGTGGAAGTGCACTGGAAAGCAGTCACAGAATTGAAAGACGATATGGCGGCCATCCCATAGCCAGGCGATAAGGACTGCAGCATCTTGCCAAGTGTTCCATTCACCCAGAAGTTCCACACTGTGTGGTAGACTGGGATGTTTGTAAAGACTAGCAGTCAACTGCTTTTTCCTGTTGCAATCTTCTGAGCATAGACAAAGAACATAGCTAAGGAACATGGCGTTCTCTGTAGGTGTAAGAGGTTTACATTTTCATTGGATGGAACACTTCTGTGCAGCACCTGAACGTGTCTTATACTTACTGTCCCACTCACAAAAGTGTAATGCATACTCATAATTAGGATTCTGTTCCAGGAACTCTAATCTTGGTATGAAGTACTCTGTACCATTTAAATTATACCCCTACCTGCAAGTACTTCATGTAGGGTATTAGAGGCAAAAGCTCGGGCTGGGGATGTGGTTCATTGGATAAAGTACTTGCTGTGCAAGCATGATGACCTGATTTTAGATCCCCAGATCCCATGTAAGCCTGCTGCAGTAGTGTGCATGTCTAATTCCAACACTACTGCATCAAGAAGGGACTCAGGAGAAGCCCTGTCTGGCCTAGCATATCATGAGCAATGAGGGGACAGGCAAGGACCAATACATCAGGTTGTTCTCTGCCCTCCATGTGTGTGCTGTAGCACCTGTGCGCTTACACTAGCATACAAACACTCGTGCACATGCAGAGTAAAAGACGTCTCTATTCCTCTGTTTCTGTTAATTGATTTTCCTCTGTGCCTGTTAGCCTTAAACGATTGGGATCATGTGTAATGATGCATAAGCCTTCCTAGGACTATCATAACTATTTTTTTTTCAAAGTCAGTTCTTTATTCCTTCTTTCCCCCCCCCCACCCCCCCTCCCCCCCTCCCCCACATACCCAGGGTTTCTCTGTAGCACTGACCAGCCTGGAACTCTCTGTAGACCAGGCTGGCCTCAGACTCAGAAATCCACCTGCCTCTGCCTCCCAAGTGCTGGGATTGAAGGCGTGCACTAGCACTGCTGGGCTTTCCTCCTTATTTCTTACAGGAGATAAGGAGAAAGCTTTGGCCTCTAGCTGATGAAGCGTGTCAGTGCTTTTCTGGAGTTCCTGTGTTTCCTTTGCAGTTGTACCACTCTCCCTTGGAAACTTCTCTTCCTCTTCACCTCAGGACACTCCTTTACCTTGTCTTGCGGCTTTGATTGGCTTCAAAGGCTCTGTCATTTCAATGTACTGATAGCCAAGCTAGACATTGGGTGAACCAAAGTTACTGCTCAGAGTTCACTCTCTCACCAAGCTCATAAATCTGTTTTCTCCTCGGTGCTCAAGTTGCTGCATTCCAGTAGTTGTCTCTCTTTGTGTTTTCCGTACCAGAGTCTCTTAGTTAGGGTGTCTGTTGCTGTGCTGAAACACCATGACAAAGCAAGGTGGGAAGGAAAGGCTTTGTTTGGCTTACACTCCCATATCACTGTTCATCATTGAAGGAAGTCAGGGCAGAAACGTGGAGGCAGGAGCTGATGCAGAGGCCATGGAGGGGAGCTGCTTACTGGATTGCTCTCATGGCTTGTTTAGCTTACTTTCTTATCAATCACTAATTAAGAAAATGCCCCGCATGCTTGTCTACAGCTTAGTATTAGGGAGGCATTTCCTTAATTGAGATTCCCTCCTCTCAGATGATTTAGCTTGTGTCAAGTCAACATAAACCTGTCCAGCACGAAGGGTATCCCTAGATTTCTCACTCTCTACCCCTTGAGTATCTGCGTTAAAAGGGCCACAGTTTCCCTTGTTGTGTGTACCTTTCACTCATGTCCTGTTACGGTGACTCAGCTCTGCATTGCTCCTGCATCCTTAGAGTGGAGGATGGCCATCTAAGGACTGTATGGACTAGAAATGGTGATTCCATTGCATCTATCTGATCCTCCTTAGAGCCTCTGCAAAAAGACTACTGCATGCCAGCTATTTCTTTCCATTTGTTTTGCTTTTTGTTTGGTTGTTATTGTTTATTCTTTTATCATAATAAAAAGTAGGACTCATTGTGGGATATAGTTTCATTTGTTCACACTCGTAGAGTGACTATTGCATTTTCTAAACATTTCTTCCCCACAGTATTTTAAGTCTTCCTCATCAAGCATCACCTGTGTCCCGCACCCCCAGCCTTCCTGCTGTAGATACAAGCTACATCAACACTTCCCTCATCCAGGACTACAGGCACCCTTTCCACATGACGCCCATGCCTTATGACTTACAAGGTGAGTCCCTGGTCCTTCAACTGCCGTCACGCAGGCTGAGGAATGCCTTCACTCTGTGTGGCTGCAGTCTGGGGATGAAGGATATAGGGAAGAAGTGGAGATGGGGAGAACAGGCCTTTGGATCCCAGGAAAAACAGCCTGGATCTTGGTGGCACCTTCCTCGGCAGCCAGGGCTCACTGCTGTGGGAGTGCTGAGGCGGTGGTCTTGAGGTGTTGTGAACTCCCTAGTATTCTGTAGGCCGTTGGAACACTTCTTGCATGTGGCCTTCATTTTGGTGGGGGTGAATGCTGGTTTTTATTCTTCATGGCTTCATGTAACAGACACTGTGTGTAACTGAGTTGTATTATGAGACATGATCTTGCTGTGTAGCCCTGGTGCTGGCCTGGAGCTCACCATATAGTAAACCAAACTGGCCTCAAACTTGCTGTCATCCTCCTGCCTCTGCCTCCTAAGAGCTAGGATTTTAGGCTTGCACCATATTGTGGAGGTGCTGCATGCCATGGCACACGTGTGGAGATCAAAGAACAGCCTGCAGGAATTCATTCTCTCCTTCCACTGTGTGGCTGTTAGGGATCAAACTCAAGTCACTAGCTTTGGTGACAAGTACTTTTACCCACTGAGACTTCTTGCTAGCCCTGTAATAGTAATGAATTAAGACATTGGAAAATTTTTAATTTGTTTCTTTTTTTTAATCCTCTTTTTCTTTTCTTATTTTTTTTTTTTTTTGAGGCAGTCTTTCTTTGTAGTCCTGATTGACCTCAAACTCACAGATATCCACCTGCAGGTGTACACTACCATGCCCAGACTTAGCCTTTTTTTTTTGTTTTGTTTTTGTTTTTCGAGACAGGGTTTCTCTGTGTAGCTTTGCGCCTTTCCTGGAACTCACTTGGTAGCCCAGGCTGGCCTCGAACTCACAAAGATCCGCCTGCCTCTGCCTCCCGAGTGCTGGGATTAAAGGCGTGCGCCACCACCACCCGGCTCTAGGTTTGTTTTTAATCAACTTAATTATAA